CGTGGTGTGGTCTGTTGTCGCGTGGTGTGGCCTGATGTGTGGTCTGTTGTAGTGGGTGTGATGTTTTGGGATGTTTTCGTGCTCACTCAGGTAGTCATGCTGATTGTGTGGTTTATGATTTTTGTGATTTATATTATTGTTTTTTTTAAATTAAACTCTGATAAGAATAGAGATTGGTGGAACATGCAAAGAACCAGTGAGAGTACTTGTTGCCTATATTTTCGGCAAATATTTCATTATATTTTCAGTTCATACTTGTCTATGTTTAGAAATGTTAACAAGAATAAAAAACAAATAAATAAACAGTTATGAAATAAATAAATATATGAAATAGATGAAAGTTAAAATATGCAGAAATTTTAAGTAATAAAGGGGTATTTTAGCGATTTTAGCAGAAAAGTTTTGTGCTGATGTGTTTGTTGGTGTTGTTGTGTTGTTGTTGTTGATGTTTTGTGTCAATGTGTTGTTGATATTGTGTGTTGTTGCTGATGGATTGTTGTTGATGTCGTGTGTTGCTGTCATGTGTTGTTGTTGATGAGTTGTTGATGTTGTGTGTTGTTGTTAATGTGTTCTTGATGCTGTGTGTTGTTGATGATGAGTTGTTGATGTTGTGTGTTGTTGTTAATGTGTTCTTGATGCTGTGTGTTGTTGATGATGAGTTGTTGATGTTGTGTGTTGTTGTTAATGTGTTCTTGACGCAGTGTTGTTGAGCTGATGTTTCATGACACCGTCTTACTTTTTTTCTATTTTTTATTGTTGATTTCTTGTCTGTGGATTCTAGTTTAGAATATTTTGTTACGCTTCCAGTTCATTATTAGTTCTCACTGGGGGATATTTTAAAGTTTTGTGATGTATCTTGACTAATTACATTGCTGTGCTGTGAACATTATCGGGATTTCCAGTTAGATTTTCAATATCGTTAAGTTCTTTTCATGTTGCGACAACTTTTGGGATTTTTAAAAGGTTAAAGTTCTATGGATCGTTCTATGGATCGGTGGTTAACAACAAGAGGATGTTGCAATCCTATTAAAATGATGATATCAAACCAGTCTACAACGAACTTCCACCAAACTGAAAGTAACGTGAGGTTGAGATGTGATGATCTCATGCGATCACTGGCGCGGGCTCCAGTGAAATGTTTATAACTGCGCGTTACAGAGTAACGATGCTAATTGACTGACATAAGATAATTCTTCAGAAACAAATTTAGAAGATAAAAGGCACATTAATAACAACAATTACGAATTTTGAGGCAATCATTAGATAGGTATGTATTCATAGATGGATAATATTTTAAGGACATTTACCTCGAATGGTTGGTTGGTGCGATTCTTGTGCGTGCACCAACGAGACGGAAGTTTTGCACGGAATCATCTTGCTTGTTAATAAGGTAGGGATGGTTACTTCAAATCTGCATATCGTCCAATGCTTAGCTGCATGCAAGTCTGTGAAGGATTATATTTTCGTTCAATTATTTTGTTTAATAAAAATATTTTGAATCATCATCATTGTCATTTTAATTTCGAATTTTTGCCACTTCAAATTTAACACTCTTACCACCACCACTTCCATCATCATCATTACCATCATCATCATGATCAACAACAATATCATCATTATCATCATCAACATCATCATTATCATCATCATTACCATCATCATCATCAACAACAACAACAATACCATCATCATCATCATCAACAACATCATTGTCATCATCATCATCATCAACAAAAACAACATCATCAACAACAACAACATCATTATCACCATCACCAGCAACAACAACAACATCATCAACGACAACAACATCATCATCATCATCTCTTTCACCAAATCTTGTACTCCAATGATTGATGGATTGTAAAAATATAAACTCCGATTCACGATCTTTGGCCAACAACAAAACTTCCAACATTAAATTTTACATCACACACACACGCGCGCACGCACCACACGCACACACATACACACGCCCACACAACACGTTTATATGATGCCAATGAATAGAGACGCACAGACAACACATACAACACATACACACACACACACACGCACGCAAACATATTTATTTATTTGTATAGAATTTTTAATTCGTGCGTTTGAATTTATTCAGTTAACCTAAGAACACATGACTAACATAATACCAGTTCTTATCACCACACACCATCTTCATCATAGATATCCCGATCATCACAACGGTGAGCACCATCATTTTTGTTGCATCATTTTTATACATCATCACACTTTACAACTTACAACCTACAACTATCATCATCATAATCGTCGTCGTCATCATCATCATCACTACCATCATTGCCATCACCATCATCATCAGCTGCAACATCAACATCAACATCGTCATGGTTTTCAAGTTTCATCTTTATTTTCATTCAACATCATCTTCCCAGCATCACCAGCATTTTAAAACGCATCATCATCATCATCATCATCATCATCATCAACCCCGCCGCAACCACACACAACTTATGTAGGACATAGTGCATCAGTTAAAATTATTTTTATCAGTTTTTTAGCGTTTCTCCTAAACTTTGGTACAGTTTATTTTTTAACTTCGTTGCTACTTACATCCGTTCATCCATTCATTCATTCATTCATCCAGACCAAATAACAGTTATGTCTTTCTGTCTGTCTGTTTGTTTGTTTGTATGTGGGTGTGTGTGTTTGTATGCATGTATATATGTATGTGTGTTTGTATGGATGTGTTTGTTTTTTGTAATTGTTTTGGCTTGTATGTGCGTTTGCTTGTTTGTATGTGTGTGTTCGTTGTTTGTATGTTTGTCTGTTTGTATGTGTTTTTTTAATGTGTTTGTTTTCGCACATATAATAAATGTTTGTATATATACACATATATATGTATAAGTTTATACTTATTCGTTTGTAATTGTCTTTTGTATCTGTTTGTATGTGCACATTTCCATGTATGTTTCACATGTGTACTTATGTGCGTGTTGAGTGTATGTGCTGATACTTTTATAAACAAATCCAATCATCCCCCACATGTTCAATTCAGTTAAATTCTGATGTATTATTTCGTATATACGTTGCATTGTTTTGTATTCTGTACATATATGTTGTACTATTTTGTATCGCGTATGTATTATTACATTACAATTCGGTTGTATGTGATTTCAGTGTGAGCGGTGAAGAATCGTTCGTTTAATGATATTTTGCCAGTTTTATTTTTGTTGCTCGTGTGTATAGTCAATTATACAATCATCATCATATTATTTGAGGGCTTTTGAGTTAGGAGGATATAATTGGCGAAAAATTTATTGTAAACATGAATTACTCAATAATTTGCTTAATTACATCTGAATATAAACATCGAGCAAAAAAATTACTTCATCTCATGAGAAATATTCTTTTTAAAGTAAAAAAAATCAATTTAAAAAGGCAAACAATTGTAATGAAATTAACTTGCAACAGTTTGTTTATTCTAATAAATTGATCTATTTTATACAAATTATTCAATTTATTTACATTAATTAAGTTGGTTAATTATAACTGCTTATGCTGCTGAAACCAACTTGAATCAAGCCACATCGTTCCTAACTGACCTAACATTTTTCAACATGAACTGCTTGACTTAACAAGGACATTCGGTTTCTGAATCTTTAAGACAAAATTCTTAACTACTTTTTACAATTTCAAATGCTATTTTGTGGGGCTATTACGTGCTTTCTTTTTATGGCTGATGATTTGTGAAAACTCCATTCATTCATATATTGGTTCAGATCAGTGTCAGAGTCGAAGATTTTCATCCAACTCCAGAGAGTGTTAAGATTATTTTTTAGATTGTGCTTTCTAGATGATATTTGTGTGTAGTTATACGCAATTATTTTTAATACTGAAATGGATGCAGTCGCAGTCGAACCTCTTTAAAACGAATTTGATGGTTCCAGGAAATAAATTCGTTATATGGAATTGGTTCAAGGAATAATTTTTTATTATCCAAAAACTGTTTATATGCTATATATTTATGAAAAAAAATTTATTTTAATCATTTATTTTGAGAACAGAAAGTAATAATGCTTGTTATCAATTCATAAAATGTTTACTGGTCAAATATATCTTTTAATTTTTGAAAAAATGAAAGTTAAAAAATTGAAAAGTTGAACAATTTTTTGTCATTTGGAACACGGAGTCTGAAAATGTGGTTCATATTGAACCAAACAATACCTCCTACTCCTACCTTTTCATTTAGCTAATGGGATATTCAATTCTCTGAGACTTGTGGTTGACAGGTAGGCAACATTTTTCAGTCAATTTGAATATGAAAAGTTTAATGTGAGCTAAAAACAAAATAGCCCAATTTATCTAAATCCAATTTTTTCATAAAATATACAACAATATTTAAAGAAATTTTTTAGATTATTATTTTTTATGTATTTGAAAGTTTGGAAAATAAGTGTGTGAGTGTTCATTGATTAAATGTACGTACATTTTAATATATTGACGACAGATACCTTAAAATCAAATGCAAAACTTATAATGAGATGTCGTAAGAACCTCAGCCAGCATTGCAGCTTTTGTATTCAGCAAACACATCCCTACCTACTTGACTAACCAATTTGCGTCTAATTAATCTGCATTTAATTTAACTTCTACTTGAAGGGAATTGTTTACTTACCTAACTGTTTAGCATAATTCAAGTTTTTCTCAGAGACATTTTCAACAACTGAGATTCTAACAATGATTAATATATAAATTGTATATATATATATATATATGTGTGTGTGTGTGTGTGTGTGTGTGTGTGTGTGGTGTTGCGCGTGTGTGTGTATTATAGAACGACAAGATGGTGTAATAGTTGAAATAATGGTAATAATGACAATGAGACATGAGACGCTCCTCCCCCCCACACAAAAATATACACAATTACACATACGCACACACATACACAATTACACACACATACATACACGTTTACACAGGCAGACATACATACACAATTACACACACACAGGCACGTGCACATGCACAAGCACTCAGGCAATCGCCTAGCAGAATCAAATTGCACAGACAGTTCAATGAATCCAGCGATAAATGAGATAATAAAAATATGCCAAAGTTGGTTGAAATAATTAAAAAAATGTCCAAACAAGTTGAGTAGGGCGCGTGTAAACATTAAAAACAGACTTGGAATTGTTTGAATTCGCGTGTCTAAACAAACGTCGAACGAACCTCAACAACTCCATACATACCTAGGCGTACGCTCCAAATTGGCTACCTTTATTGCTGAACAATGGCTGTTCTTGCTGATTGCTAGAGAGATTTACATACACACACGTATCATGTGGTTATGTTTGGTTGAAAAAAAAAACCAATCATTAAAGAATTATTTCGAAAAAATTAACTTTTACTTTTCAATTGATGAAAATTGTAATTAAAAACAATTTTTATGGGTAAATTTGAAGCATTCACGGATGGGTAAACGTGCAGTGAACCATTTCACGCTTTCAACATCCACTGAGCCAACCACACCACTCAGGCACTCACTCGAGAACCAACGGCGTTTTCGTATCCGGCTGGTAAAAAAAATTTCAGCTCGGCAGTGAAAGAAATTAGACGGCGCTAATAATTCATTGAGAGCCTACATCTCGTTAGGAGATTGCATCCTCCAACAAACAGGATTACACGTCATACGCACTCTCTACATTTCTGGCAAACTTCACGCACACTCACACACACACACAGACAAAATCTTACACACAGACTAAAGTATGTTCATAAATTTTTGATTTGCATGAATGCGAAACCCAATCGCACAAACGAACGGACACACACGCACACACACACACACACACACACACACACACGCATACACGCACGCATACACGCCCGCACACACACACACGCATTATAAATATAACGACCAATTGAAATTTCGCAGCCAGTTTTACAAAAATAATCCAGCCAAGTATCGCTTCTTTATTATTCAATAAATGCCAACAACAACTGTTTGCTTATTGATGTGTGATTCACCATCACCATCATCATCGTCACCATCATCATGATCGTCGTCGTCATCGTTATTGTCATCATCATCAACAACGTCCCCACCACTATGAGATATTTATAATAACATTAATTTATTAATAACAATTATGATACTACACTGAATGAGACGACGATGATGAAGCTGCTGATGATGAAGCTGCTGATAATGAATCTGATGATGAATCTGATGATGAAGATGATGAAGCTAATGATGAAGATGATGAAACTGATGATGATGAAGCTGATGATGAAGATGATGATGAAGATGATGAAGCTGATGATGAAGATGCTAAAGCTGATAATGAAGATGATGAAGCTGATGATAAAACTGATGAAGCTGGTGATGTAGATGATGATGATGATGAAGCAGATGATGAAGCTGATGATGATGAAGCTGATGATGATGATGAAGCTGATGATGAAGCTGATGATAAAGCTAATGATCAAGATGATGATGATAGCGATGAGTGAAACTGTTCATTCGTTAATTTGTTTATTCGTATTATTAATTTGCTCATTCGTATGTTTTTTTTAGCATATTTATTCGTTTTTAACCGTACAGTTCTTTATTCGTTTATTCTTTCATTCATTTATTCAATAATTCATTCATTCATTCATCCATCCATCCATTCATTTATTCATCCATCCATCCATCCATCCGTTCATTCATTCATTCATTCATTTCTAACGCAATTCAATAAGGTACCAACAAACGGCTCCATTTGAACGCGTGAAAATAAATAAAACATTTAATTAAATAATAAAACCAATTTGAGTGTTTTGTTGTTGTTGTTGTTGATGATGATGATGATGTTGTATTATTATTGTTGTTGTTTTTGATGATGCTATTGTAATTGTCGTTGTTTTGTAAATGTTGTTGTTGTAAATGTTATAGATGTTGTCGTCGTGACTGTTGTGGATGTTTGTTGTTGTAGCGTATGTTGTGGATGCTGTTGTTGATTCTTGTTAACGTAGCAGTTCATCTCCCTACTTAGCTGCCCTTTAACCTTCAAAGTATCCAACCGAATTTGCACCCCAGTGCTCAATTCCACCAGAATTTCACCTGTGTTGTATTTTATCCTCAGATCCTTCATTTCCTACACAACAAAACGACAGAGGCTTCATGTCTTCAAACTCCGATCAAGCATAACAACCCGCATGTACAACATTCAAATACAAAGTGCACATATGATAATGATCTTGTGCACTTAAATAAGCAAGTAGAAAAGTACCGGCACCACGCACACAACACACGCTCACGAACACACGCACACAAACTCGCACATATAAGGACATAAAACCGAAACGAGCCAAATTAAATAAACCGCATTTGTTATTGTTGAGTTTGATAAGGGAGTCATATAGTAAGGAGCGATGCTGAGTCAATCAACTTTATTTATTTATTCCATTATATGTTTGTGTGGTTTTGTGGTTTTTTTGATGTCGGTAGGCTGGTTGATTGGTTGGCTGAATGGTTGGCTGATTGGCTGGCTGGATGACTTGCTGGTTGGTTGGTTGGCTGAATGGTTGGCTGGTTGGTTGGTTGGCTGGATGACTTGCTGGTTGGTTGGTTGGCTGGTTGTAGAGTTTGATGGTTTGTTAGTTTTTAGATGAGTTGTAGTTGTACCGTCAAGGTCCCCCCACAAATGGGGGGGGGGGTCTTTAAAGAGTGAACGGCGATTGGCGGAAGTAGTTTAACAGTGGCAGCGTCCACAGTCTGGAATTTGTTGCCTGAAGAACTAAGCGTGAAGTTACTTTGAAGAATGTGCCTATGAAGAAGCTGGAGATATATTTATGTGAGAAAGCATATGCAACATCTAAAGTGAATACTAAAATATTCTACTAGAAATGATAATAATTTTGACATAGGAAATATAATGTAAGTAAAGTTGTCTTTATGCGATTTAAAAGTTTTCTGGGTACTTCCGTAATTTTATCTTAAGTCAAATTTGAAAGGCTTTCGATTATGTTAAAAATATCGGTTGCATTATTTGATAAAAAGCAAAATTTTTTAGCGTAATTATTATATATGAAAAGTTGTCAATCAGCTTCTAATTAATTTTTTAAATTGTTGTTTGAATTCGAATAAATATTCTTTAATTAGATTCCAAGGACCTCATGTAGTACCTCATCTCTGTTAGGCAGCAGCATGAATGTGGAAAGAACTGAGAATGGTGCGGACACGAGCTACCAATGAAAGAATGGTGTAAACAGGATGAAACGAGTGAACTTTCCTATGTTGGCTTATTAAAATAAGAGAACACGATGCATGTGTTGAAGATGAGGCCAGGTTCTGTTGCTGCCAATCACTGTATTAAACATTTTTGCTCAATTAAATATATTTTTTATTGAGTTTTTTTACGAAATCTTCATACAGTCTTCATACATCTTCATACATAAATTTTCATACTTCATACAGTTTATTAAATCTTCATACAATAATGCACAATCGTTTTATAAATTCAAAGCAATTTCTTACGATTAACTATCATGTTCATTTGGGAGCCTATCATACATAATTTTACTCACGTCCATGCTTTCAGGTCACCGTAATACCATAAAATAAGACATTTTTAATAATAGCAGTCTTATTCCTCCGTGCTTGCTTATAATGTCACTATATCAGCGTGAGTGTGCTAATTCTTGAACAAATATAACACCTCTGTTTGCTTGATAATCTGAAAGAGACAATAAAATAATTTGTCAGGCAAACTCTTGGCAAACTAACCTCACTGGAATGAGGTTAGTTTGCCAAGAGTTAATTGTGGATGTAATTTTTTTTGTTTATGGACAAAGGTCTATTAAAATATGATGACCGGAAGGAAGGATCAGTTTGTGAGGTTTTGTGACCCAGGTTGCAAACAGTTTTTACTGCGCTGAATGTTTTCAAAGGTGCTCCAAGTGAAATGCGATATTTTTAACATGTTTCTATCGATTTCTTATGCACATAAACCATAAAATTTTTCAATCGATTCATCAATTAATGAAGTAATAAATAAAGATAAATAAAATATAAATAATTAAATCTTTTATGCAGAAGATTCAAAAACCAAATGACACGCCGACCAGATTTTTTAGTTAAATTCGCAAATTAACAACTTGATAAAGTGTGGCATTTGATGTTTCATCAGTGGAAAACACATTTCATCTTTTAAATAACGAGGCACGTCATTTCAAAAGCCAAGAGGGGATTGTTGTTTTATAAAAAAAAAAAATTGCGCTAAAGTCACAGCTCCTAAAAACTCAAATAACAAATTAAAATTTCTCACTTTAGAAGTTTATTAATTCTTAATTTCAACGAACAGATAACCACACACGTATTTTTGCGACGCTTAATTTGTGAGTGAGTGCGCGTGTGTGTGTGTGTCTGTGTGTCTGTTTGTGTTAGTGTATGAATTGTCGTGTTTCAGTACAAATGTGATAAATATAGCATGACGAATGTGAATGATTTCAAGTTATGTGTGTGCACAGGCTAGTATCTTTGTGTCTGTGTGAATGTATTTGCGATTGTTTGTTTGTTTGCTGAGATATCTCAGGTCAAACCAACATCTTAATGACGGCGCCTATATTAATAATCTCCATAAATGCATACATAAACATTGTGTACAGCAGAAGCATGTTGTGTGCACACGCACACACCTACATCTTCCATGTACGTGTGTACACCTACATCTTCCACAAACACTCGCACACACATACTTAGCGTTCAATATCAAACGCAATTCTTCGAAGACGTTTTTATACATAGAATCATCGACGTTAAGCCTTCTTTAAAAGTTTTTATCTGCATTTGAAGATAACGAAAATCATATCTTGTTATTGTTTACGATAATTTGTTACAATTTTATACAATGCGATTAGGAGGTTACAAAATAAAAATAAAACTGTTTTTTGTCCCAACGCTTCAGAAGAATGAAAAAAAAAATCAAACACCTATGTCTATATACTCATTGTATGTTTTGCGTATATGTGCGGGTGCGCTGTGTGTATGCGTTGGTATTTATATTTGATGGCCATAAACTAAGCTTGGCTGTTGGGCTGTATTAATATTTGATAGGTGAGAATTTCCTGTTTGATTTCAATGTGTTCGTTTGTTTGTCTGTGTGAGTGTGTTTGTCTGTGTGTGTCTGTCTGTTGTGTGTTTGTATGTGTGTGTGTTTGTCTGTGTATGTCTGTGTGTGTTTGTCTGTTGTGTGTGTTTGTCTGTTGTGTGTGTTTGCCTGTGTGTGATTGACTGTGTGAATTTTCAACTCTTAGTTTTTGCACGTTTATGTATTTATGCAGTGTAGCAGACGAAATGGGAATAAAAAAGATGAGAAAAAGACACTGGCCATAAAACCATCGTCACGAAGGCACTCACGCTAATGACGATGATGACGTTGATAATTACAAATGTTTAAAGTATGCCGCTCAATTCATTTAAAGGCCACACGTTGAAGCCACGCTGAATGTGAGTGCCTTATTTGATCGCTACATAATTGCAGGCTGTTTTTTGGAACATTTTTGGTTAGAGTAGGTAGTAACATTTAGTTTACTAGTTTACATTTATAATTTCAATCGTTTCATCGTCTCAAAAGTTTTTAAATCTAATGCTTATAAACTGTTTTGTTTGTTATTCACTTGTGTATGTACTTCTTGATCAATCAGATTTGGAAACGTTAAAGACTGGGACTGAGTTTGCAAATAATAAAGAACAAGAAGATGTAAGAAATATGTAAGAAATAATATTAGTGGCAGATTTGCGCTCAATCAAATTCTTTCTTCAATATTTCATACTTGGCAATTTTGAGAATTGGTTCATCTTTCATTGGAGCCGGTCGAGAACGAACAGCTCATAATTGAGGAAGCACAAGCTGATCTCTTGCCGCCCAACCCATCTCAATTTTTACTCCTTACGTTAATGACGATGCCAACAAAATCGTTTTTGATGTTTGGAGGGGGAGAGAGGTGGATGTGAGCCTGATGGTCATCACCAGGTAACATCACACGTATCAAGTTTATTAGGTGAACAAGTAGGAATCAAATCGTTTTTTATTTTCCTCCTAGAATATCTTCAACACAAAATAGTTTTACGACCAATATTATTTTTTAGATGCTTCAGCACTTTTAACAAAAGAACAAAACATTTGGATCGGAATAACAACAAACGCTAGAATATTGCTTAATACACTTTCGATTCAACCGATGTTCATTTCAAAAGCAATTTCCTAACAAGACTCAAATGTACAAAAATTTATTTTTCAACTGAAAAATGTAAAATAAAAATAAAATAAATTTCAACAAAACATTCAATCAACCAACAAAATTATTTTTAACAGAAAAGTTATCAAATATTTGTAAAGAACTCGTCTCAAAAGTTTTTAAATCTAATTCAACCAATGTTTATTTTAAAATTTCCTAACAAGACTTAAATATACAAAAATTAAAAATTGTCATTCAAGAACTTGAAACAAAAAATTTGAAACATTTTG